TGGAGTCAACATGTAAGAAGAGTTGTTGGCGTTTTATATTAATAGAACAATAATGTCATTGTTAGCTAATGAATGTTTCCATGCTGAACAACGGCAACATGACAACGTTTTCATTGGTCCCTCTTCTTTAGAGAAGACCAGGAAATGATGGATACACGGATCGTGTTCAAATCAATAGGCACGCAATGAATCTAAATAATAATGATCACGCCACCAAACACACATTCAGACTAAAGGAACCAGCCTGTTTGGGAAATGTGAGAAGTAGAAAGTTCAGGTATTTGTTGGTTCAACATGTAAGAAGTAAAAGTAAAAAGTCGTCAGAAAAATAAGTAGTGGAGTAAAGTACTGATACCCGAAAAGTGTACTTAAGTACAGTAACAAAGTATTTGTACTCCAGAGAGAGCGATCGGTCGTAGGCTGTGGGGGCTGAATGTTTCCAAACCTAGAGGAGTATTTCTTATTGCGTGTTTCGCCTGTTGCATAATTATGACTGTGGTGAAACCTGTTATTACTAAGTGAAGTCTGCTTTCTCTGGCACATCTTCAAAATGTGCAAATCTATCATTCAATGTTCCAACCACCAAGGGCCACATGATGACGCCTCTTTAACTGGAGCTTAAAATGAAAACACTGGCTACTTGTGGTTGCGACAAAAGCAAGAAAAAGTCGATTTGTTCCACATTCCTCAGCACCGATCCGTTGCCAAAAGTCCCTGTTTGTTGCTGCTGGTGTTTCAAGGCCTCTCGGTTGAGGCGTGAACGAATGAATAGCTCGCTGTTGTCGATGAAAAATGCTGGATGCTCGGTCTCTAGCTAATATTCACGACTTCACAGAGGAGCAGGAAGTTACCAGGCGGTCTGTCGTAACAAGGGTGGCAGTAAAATGGTTTGTCAGAACCTGCAGAAGTTTCCTGAAACTGACTGTTTGAATCTTGTGTCACACCGACAAGTTTATACCGGCCCATCGTGGGAAAGTCCTTGAGTCTAACAGTGGCTTTGGCTGTGTGTTAAATAAAGATCTTTAAAAAAATATGCACTTTACGTTTTATTGATGATGCAATCATCACTCCAGTATTCTCCACACTGCTCATAACTTTAAAAACAAGTGCAAAAAACAACTGTGTTCCATATGTCATTTTTATCTGTAAATATATAATTTGGGCTATCATACCCTTTCTGCTACTTCAGTACTTTTAAACCAGTTCACTTAGATGTTTATAATAATTTCTGACTATTTATATATTGCCATACGCAGAATGTGTACTTGTTCTTTCATTTAATTGTAATGAAAATTGTATTTAATAAATTACCATTCTTATTTATTCATTTTATTTGAATAATTGGTTATTTATTTTATTTTTTGTAACTAATACAAAAAAGGGAAGATAAATAAACCAAATTAAATCAAAAAAATAATAAATAGATTATTGTAATTTAATTAAATACAATTTCATACAATTTAAATGAAACCAAAAGTACACATCTACCAGTATGGCATTATATAAAATAGGCAGAAATTATTATAACCTCTAAGTTGAATGGCTAAAAAGAACTGAAGTAAGCAAGAAAGAGGATTGAAGCCAATATATATTTAACAATAATTAAATATGACATTATGAACAGCAAGTGTTTTGCACATGTTTTTAAAGTATGAGCAGTGTGAAATACTGGTGATGATTGCATGCATCCAAAAACTAAAGTGCAATTAATAATATAATAATAATGCTTTGGTCCTTTGCTTTCATCTTGTCATTGCTTGACGTGTAATGTATTGAAGTATTAATAAAACAGCGAGAAGCGCTGCAAAAATGAGCTTCCTATAAGTCAAAACCACTGCGAAGTGCTGGACATTATTTTAAAATTGAGCTAAATCCTTAAACAGCTTTACTACAAGTAAACAAAAGTCTTCTCCCTGGCGAGGCGCAGCGTATGAGATCCTGACGGAGCAGGGTGTGTCCGGGGAAAAGGGAAAAGAGCACCTAATCAGTGAAGCAATGTTACATTTCATAAACGGAACGACTCTTGAGCTCGTTTCTCTCCAACCACATTTCCTGAGCATTTGTTCTACATGAGGAGGAGGAATGGAGGAGGTGAGGAACGGAAGGATGAGGAGAGGAAAAACACACATTGACAGTCATCATCAAGGAGAACCTCTGATCCCAGTAGACCGGTCATGGACGGGGGAAGGGGATCTCCCAAACTCGACCCTGCTTCCTCTGTGGGGGTCACAGCTCCAAATACAAATCCTCCATAAGGTCACAGACAGAGGGGGGAAGTAGTGGAGTACAAATACTTTGTTACTGTACTTAAGTACACTTTTCGGGTATCAGTACTTTACTCCACTACTTATTTTTCTGACGACTTTTTACTTTTACTTCTTAAATATTTAACACTAATACCTGTACTTTCTACTTCTTACATGTTGAACCCAAATACCTGTACTTTCTACTTCTTACATGTTGAACCCAAATACCTGTACTTTCTACTTCTTACATGTTGAACCCAAATACCTGTACTTTCTACTTCTCACATTTCCCAAACAGGCTGGTTCCTTTAGTCTGAATGTGTGTTTGGTGGCGTGATCATTATTATTTAGAGTCATTGCGTGCCCATTGATTTGAACACGATCCGTGTATCCATCATTTTCTGGTCTTCTCTAAAGAAGAGGGACCAATGAAAACGTTGTCATGTTGCCGTTGGTCAGCATGGAAACATTCATTAGCTAACAATGACATTATTGTTCTATCAATATAAAGGGAGGTCAGGTACTCTTTAAAACAGCTGCTAGTTATGGGTACTTTTTACTGAAGTACATTTCAAAGCCTCTTTACTTTGACTTGAGTAAAGAAGTTTAGTCAGTACTTCTACTTTCACCAGAGTATCTTTAAACACGAGTATCTGTACTTCTACTTGAGTAAAGGATGTGTGTGCTTTTGCCATCTCTGCTGTCAGCTGACACTTCTACTACAGCCCCTGCCGTGCATGTACCTGCTCGCTGCTGATGACCTGGGCGATGCAGGGCCGGCAGTAGACGTGGGCGCAGTGTGTGATGACGGGCAGACGCACAGACTCCAGACACACTGAGCACTCCTCATCGGAGCCGCTGGCCAACACCGAGCGCAGCTTCTCTATCAGACGCTCCCGCAGCTCTGCAGGCGTCGCTGCAGCACCTGCACACAAAACACTGCATTTCAGACGTTTACAAGTAGAAATCAACAAAGACAAAATACATTTTCTCAGACATGATATGAGGCCAGGGCTGGGCCGACAATTAAGGACACAAACAAATTTTTATGTTTAAGAAAATGTATAAAGAAAGCGTATTTAGACAGTATGAAGTTGACTTTTTTTTTTTTTTCTTTTTTTTTTAACAGACATTGCTCCAGATAACAAACCGTACATCAAAACATGTAACAACAAACAGTTGACTTTTGAGTGTGTTCTGGTTTTATGTTTCAGTATTTGTAAGCAACAGTGACTGAAAGAATATTGATTTTATTTTACTTTTTAATGGTCATTTCATTATTTTTTGTTGTTCTTTTTTTTAAGAAGGGGCAGGTAGAATACGATTTTCTTCTCCCTGCTCCTTTCCACCATGCGTTGTAAAAAAAACAACCAGTAT